CAGGGATACCATGGTCCTTAAAGAACAGGGATACCATGGTCCTTAAACCAGGTACTGGTAGCATTGGCACTGTGTGCAGGTGCTAAGTCCTGTTGGAAAATGAACTCTGCATCTCCATAAAGTTGGTCAGCAGCAGGAAGCATGAAGTCTCTAAAACTTCCTGGTAGACGGCTGCGTTGACCTTGGACCTCAGAAAGTACAGTGGACCAACACCAGCAGATGACATGGCACCCCAAACCATCACTGACTGTGGAAACTTGACACTGGATCTCAAGCAACGTGGATTCTGTGCCTCTGATCTCTTCCTCCAGACTCTGGGACCTTGATTTCCAAATGAAATGCAAATTTTACTTTCATCAGAGAACAGAACTTTGGACCACTCAGCAGCAGTCCAGTCCTTTTTGTCTCAAGACACTTCTGTCGCTGTCTCTTGTTCAAGAGTGGCTTGACACAAGGAATGCAACAGCTGAAACCCATGTCTTGCATATGTCTGTGCGTGGTGGTTTGTGAAGCACTGACCCAAGCTGCAGTCCACTCTTTGTGAATCTCCCCCACATTTTGGAATGGGTTTTGTTTCACCATCCTCTCCAGGGTGCGTTTATCCTTATTACTTGTGCACTTTTTTTTATATACCACATCTTTTGCTTCCCTTCGCCTCTCTATTAATGTGCTTGGACACAGAGCTCTGTGAACAGCCAGCCTCTTTAGCGATGACCTTTTGTGTCTTGCCCTTCTTGTGCAAGGTGTCCATGGTCATCTTTTGGACAACTGTCAAGTCAGCAGTCTTCCCCATGATTGTGTAAACTACAGAACTAGACTGAGACCATTTAAAGGTCTTTGCAAATGTTTTGAGTTAATTGGCTGATTAGAGTGTGGCACCAGGTGTCTTCAATATTGAACCTTTTCAAAATATTCTAATTTTCTGACATACTGAATTTGGGGTTTTCATTAGATGTCAGTTATAATCATCAACATTAAAATAAATAAACCTTTGAAATATATATGTGTGTGTAATGAATGAATATAATATACAAGTTTCACTTTCTGAATGGAATTACTGAAATAAATGAACTTTTTCATGATATTCTAATTTTATGACCAGCACCTGCATACATTTTACTGAAAAAACAGAGACCAGGCGTGGCTAGTTTTAGCGCGTTGCAATCTTGACGTTTCCAGCTCGTCCAAAATGCTGCAGCTCGGCTACTAACAGGAACTCACAGGTTTGAGCACATTACTCCAGTTCTGTCCTCTCTTCACTGGCTTCCTGTGCGGGTCAGAGTTGATTTTAAGATTCTTCTGCTGACATTTAAGTGTTAATGGCCTTGCACCCTCATACCTCTCAGACCTCCTTCATCCTTATACTCCTTCTCGGACCTTGAGATCATCAGACCAGCTGCTTTTGGCTGTACCTAAAACCATCTGAAGCTCAGAGGAGATCAGGTGTTTTCAGTCATGGGCCCTAAACTCTGGAACAATCTGCCCATCAACATTCGACAGGCCACCTCAGTCTCTATTTTTAAATCTCTCCTCAAAACACATCTGTACTCACTGACACATCTGTACTCACTGACATCTGTACTCACTGACACATCTGTACTCACTGACACATCTGTACTCACTGACACATCTGTACTCACTGACACATCTGTACTCATTGGCATTTAACACAGTGTGATCTCATTTGATATTTCATTGTTTCTCATTATATTTCATGTTTGTATGTTTTTATTCATGTTGCTGTAATATGTTGTTATTAATATTTGATGTTGTGATCTTATTTGGTAAGCACTTTGATAACAGTTACTGTTTTAAATGTGCTATATAAATAAATGTGACTTGACTTGACAAGAATCATAAAACATAATGCACAATTTAGATTTTGTTACTGTGTTCATGCATAAAAATGCGATGACTATAAACTCATTCACAGGCAGATTGCATGTTTTTAACAAGGCAAGAAAGAAAAACTTGTTTATGTTTGGGTTTTTTTAACCATGTTCATTAAATTGCTTAAACTGTTAAAGTGCGACCACAAAATTACATAACAATAAGCAAGTATGTCTTTGTTTACAATTAAATTCAGTGATCAGTTCAGAATATCTTGGCACAGCTCATTAGCAAATGATCGTAGCCCCAAATTTTGTAGCTTGATTTCCTCCCAAAATGACTACTTCAGTCAGCTCTCCTCTCACAGCTTTTAGTCGCCATTTCTTTTCAGAAGGAGATAGAAGAACTTCACCTCTTCTCTTTGGACCTGGCATGTGTGATTCCACTGTTAACCCTCTGACTCTGCGTACATGCAAGATTATTTTACCAGCACATCGTCCATTGTTTGCCAAGACTGTCCAAAGTGTGCTGGTCAATGTCCGAATGTAAACAAACAACTTGTAATTGTTGGCAACTGAAAGTGACTGCTGATTTTGCACATTTCTCACAAATTGTGGGAGACTTTTGGTAGAGAATGTTGCATATATAATAGTTTATTTATTTATTTATTTTAACCATAGATGATACACATACAAAAAAAATCTACGGTAATCAAAAACATTGAAAAGTTGCATATTTTGCCAGCTAATGTGGCTTTAAAGAACAGTACACAAACAAAGCCCTTCACGGTCAGGCTGCGTGGCACTGAGCCGTTCATGACACGAAAACAAAAGCTCAGACACCTGATCTAGGAAACAGTCTGAGGCCTTTCCACTGGAGCTTACGATGACACTGAGCTGAGGGTTACAGCTAAAATGGGTCATGTGGGACCGAATGAAAACGATCCAAACGAAGAGTGTGCAACAGAACTTTTATTCTTCACCTCAGCTCTGACACCAAAGAAGAAATACTTAAAAATGTAAAAGCTATAAGATCTGCTACTTTTTAAAACCCTCAGATCATTAGTGTCCTACATGGTCTTGAACAGACTGTCAGTCTGCTAATAATTCACCACTCGTCACAACAAGTGACGTTTTGTGAATACAACTTTAGCTAAATGTCTAAAAGATCATTATTTTTAATAAACCTGAAGCTGAAGTGATAAATAACAGGTTATACTAATCTTTAACAAATGAACACAAAGACAAACAATTACAAGTCACTTTTTCTTTTAAGTGAATAAAAATGTTTTCTTTTTAAATCAACAGAACATGGCAAGAAATACCTTACCAATGTAAGCTCATAGCGTATTCCACATTTCTCAGGTTTCTAGGCTTTCCGTAGCTTTGGCACTTCTGATTTACTGGTACTAATTGTGGCCGTCACTGCAGGACTTTGTCATCTGTGTGATTCTACAGGACAAACGCTCGTGCCTTTTATCTCCACTGCAGGGGACAAAGGCCTCACCAAACACTCAAACACTTGGTAAGCAACTACAGTCTATCATTTAAACAGTGACACCAAAGTCCTCTCTCTCCTAAAAGCACAGCGATGACAACTTGATAAGATCTTTATACTGCCAGTATGCTGCTATAGCTTAGTTTAGAGGAAAGTCTGGGTTGGAGTAAGGAGACTGGGTCAAAAGGTGAAGAATCACCCCTGAGATAAAAATAAAATAAAAATAAATACCCCCATGAGACAATTCAATTCAATTTAGTTTATTCATATACTGTAGCAAGAATACAGGGAGGAGAGAGTGGTGATAGGAGCAGACCTGAATGGACGTGTTGGTGAAGGAAACAGAGGGGATGAGGAAGTGATGGCTAGGTTTGGTGTTAATGAAAGAAACCAGGAAGGACAGATGGTGGTGGATTTTGCCAAGAGCATGAAAATGGCTGTAGTCAACACCTATTTCCAAAAGAGGGATGAACAGAGTGACCTATAAGAGCGGAGTAAGGAGTACGCAGGTCGACTACATTCTGTGTAAAAGAGGAAACCTGAGGGAAATTGGGGACTGTAAGGCTGTGGCAGGGGAAGGCATGGCCAGACAGCATCAGATGGTTGTCTGTAGAATGACTGTTGTAAATAAGAGAAAAACTGTAATTAGGCTGTATACCGAACTGAGGTTCTTGTATGACACCGACCGAACTGCGTCCGTCGGTGTATGGATTGAAACGTCACTCTTCTTTCGGTGTCAAGTTTCGATATTGGCTATAACGTGTCACGTGGTTTCA